CGGTTGACAGATTGCCCCTTTCGCTTCGTCGTCCAATGGAATATGGCGAATGGTGCGTTGATGGTGAAAAATGGCTGTTTCACACAAAACCATCCTGTTTCACCAGCGGCATTTGCAACGTACCCTACGTCTCGAGGGCTTACCGACCCGATTGTGACCGCGCGTGTCGATGGGATGTTGGCGGTTGGTGCCAAAGGGCCCGCATTTATGATTACCTTCTGGAACATGACCAGAACGTAATTCAAGTCGACGTCGACAACCTAGTGCGGACTCAAGCGTCCTCCGCCAGTAACGCGGACGATAACGAGGGCACGGCTCTGGAAATAGCAGCGTTCGCTGCTGCGGATCCCGAAAACGTATCTACGATATCTGAGACAGATGCTGGTGAAACAGGGGTGATTTCTCTAGCCACGGCTCATATGCGCCGCATTTACGGAAGATTTAGCGAGGTCCTTTTGGTTGACTGCAGTCATAAGACCAACAGGTAGCTCATATTGTATATTATTGTATTGTACAGTATTAATCCTGTATTTAACATGACTTTTTCAATGATTTGTTTGTAGGTACAATTATCAACTTCTTACCTTCATGGGGATGAATGAATTTGGGGAGGGTGCTGTAGTGCAACAATCTCTGATTGAAGCCAACGGTGATTGGCACATGGAGAGAGCCATTGCTCACTGTAAGCGTTCTCATCCAACTCGCATTGAAAAGCTGAGGGTTATTGTCGTTGACAAGGAACTCAACGAAATCCGCGTTCTTAAAGAGCACTTCCCTGAGGCTCGAATAATTATCTGCCATTTTCACGTCATCAAATACTTGAAGGAAAAGCGATCCAAGCCAGAGTATGGTAAGATTTCGTCGGAAGATTCTTCGAATATCGACGCTGCGATTCATAAGATGGTTCACGCGCAGTATGAAGAGCAGTACAAGGAAGCCAATGAATCGCTACGTGGAATTGGCGCTCGAACAGGAATGGGTGGATTCTATGACTACTTTCAAAAGAACTGGGATGCTTCTCAAGAACGTTGGGTATCGTATTTACGTTCCAAGCTTCCGCATTTCAAGAACCACACTAACAACCGTCTGGAGAGCTTCTTCGGAAAGTTAAAGGATGCAGTGAACGGATCTATGAGCATGGCCATGTGCATCAAGGCCATTATAGCTTATGATCGCAGAGTGCAGAACGAGTACGAGTACCGGTTATCTCGAATTGATCGCTTCGTGACCTGCAACTATGATGAGTAGATGAAGAATGTGCTCCGCTTCACTACGCACTACGTTGCACAGCAAATTGAGCAGCAGTACGCGACGGCTGTTGAAAAAGCTGTTTTGTACAAATTCAGTTACGATTCTGAATATACCGGGGATATTCTAGTCAGTGGGAAGTTTTCTGAGCATCGATTGCGGATCTCTGACTGGAAATGTGACTGCGAGTTTTCTATTTTAATGCGTCTACCCTGCCGACATGCTATAGCTTACCGGAAGCACGTTGGGGTGTCTGGATCGGTCATTCCTTGGGGATGCATTGACGAAAGGTAAGTGTCATGAATTATCATGATAATAATACTGGATAATAATCCTGTACACATGAACGTTTAATTGTACGTTCAGATGGACAACTCCAAATCGCCCGCTGAAGCAGGTTAAGCAGTTTACATACGAGAAGTTCTCGTGTACCGGCTCAGGATCGACTCGAAAGAAGATGCGGACGCAGTCTGAACGGTACCGCGAAGCCGTGAGAGCAGCCCATCTCATTGCAAGTGAAATGGCGGATATTCAAGACGAAAAAGAGGTTGATGAAATGCTAAGCTTTGTGTTATCGCAGTGGAGAAACGCTCGTCAAGGAAGGATGAAAGAGGTTCCGGACGGTGGAAATGTAGCAGATGACCACACATCTGGAGACGAAGAAAAGGCAAATGAAGCTGCTGCTAGGCTCGAGTTCGATATCAGCTCGAGCGAAAATGAAGATGATCAACAGGCCTACAATCAAGTTATCATCCGCATGAATCCTAAAGCAAAGAAGGTCGGAGCACCGCGGAAAATGAAGAAGAAAACTGTCTCTGGAGAGAAAGAAGGACGGAAGTGGTTTGAGGCAGCAGAATATGGTCGAAAAATCGCAGGCGAAGAGACTTTAATCGATTTATTGAATTCTTTAGATCAGGACAAGCCAGAACTCACGAAAACGCAGAAGCGTCTATCAGGAGTGATTGTGAGGCACAGTGAGTTCGACAACAACAAGCCCAAGATGAAGATAAGCAAGAATCCTGTACTCGTCCAGGATCCGTTTTACCTCCTCCCGTCCAAGATTCTAGATGCATGTGTGAGAGTTCTACCGTTGTCGAACACGAAAGCCACTGCTATATCGCTGGATGGATCGCAACCTTATCAGACGCAAAGCGTTGAAGATAAGGCTACCCCGCAGTCTGTCGAAACGGTTCTCATAAAGGATGTGGGTCAGTTCTCAAGAAAACAGATTGAGACCTTCAAGCGTGTCCGTAATCTGAAGGAGCTCGTTGAATTGGGGCTGGATACGTACGAATGGATGATGCAGATTGGAATCCCTGCCCTACCAGCCGAACATAACGCACTAGCAAAGGAGATAGCAGAAAAGGTGAAGAGCACGTACCCGTTACAACAGATCCAAGGACTCCCAGGTGTCGCTGACTTCCAGTATTGTATGCTCTATCGCATTACACCACCATCATGGCTCTCAGATGCCTCCATCCGAGCATTGTGTCTGCGTCTCTGCCAAGATTACCCAGCGTGTCGCTTCGCCGGTTTTCAGTCTGCTGTCCCGAAAACGAAACGAGCGCGAAGTGCAGAGAAGAATATTTTGATCGATGCTGCCCGTGATTGTGTCCTGAAGCACGCCGAAGATGATGGCGTGGAGTCGGTGTTCGTTCCTTTGAACTTTGGTAACCTACATTGGTGTTGTGTTGTGGTCAAAGTGGCTGCTAAGAGGATTTTCTACTATGACCCGCTTAATCAAGCGTCGTATATGAACGCGTCAAAGGAAGTTGCCGTCACTTTGAAGATCGCAGGCCTCAATGACTTTGACGTCATTCCAATGAACAACCCCATCCAGTTCGACGGCTTCAGCTGCGGCGTCTTCGTTTGCTGGATGTTCATCCGCCAAATAACCTGTGTGCCCCCACAGGATATGAGCGACGCTTCGCTTCCAAGGCGCCGGTTCGAACTGTTGTGTTACCTGCTTACAGATCAACTACTTCCAGCGGAGGCTGCTGCAACTGCTTTGCCGGAGGAAAAAGCTCCTGTTCCAGGGAGTGTGGACAATGATATGGACGAAGAAGAGGTGGCCCCAACCCAAGTTGCTGAGAAGTGAGTGTCCTATGGTGGCTTTCAGTCTAACATTCAGTACACGCAGCGTTGCCGTAAGATTTGTGTTGAAATGCTATAAGTCTTCAAAACAGGATTTTTACATGGACTAAAACAAGTTTAATCCTCGCCAATGGGGTAATTATTGCAAGACAGTACTTCCACATGATTAAATCATGGCTAGAACCAGGATTAATCCTGCAAGGTAGACAGATACACGTTACAAATCTTTTCGCGTCCTCAACGAATCTTCTCAAACCTGCCGCGTCCTCGACGAGTCTTTCCCTAAATTAAATGCGATTTTACAAACAGGATTAATCCTGACCTAAATCATGCACGTTTCCATAATTATAATCCTGGCCTCCAACAGCCGCCAAGTTTTAATTATAACTAGAGAATAAATTAATCTAATCAGATCGCTTCAATGTATTATTCGGAAGGCCTGCTCATTACCTATTTTCATTTTTTTTCGAAAGTTATCTATTATAAGATGCCAAGTTTTGATATCCGCATTTTCTATCACTTGCTCACAGGCACAACACCTCTACTGTGTCTGGCGCAACAATTGCGATCTTATCGCCACATCTTGGAGGAATGAGGTCCACCGCTGTGGGTCTGCAAACGTCAATACCCAGCTTCGTCGGTGCATCTTTCATTGGGAGAACGAGCTTGCTGTCGGTGACCGATGCATCCACAATCGGTAACTTCGTTGAAGGTCGGAAGATGAGGTACAGCGCCACCTGGATAAACCCCAGTGTTGAGCATGCAGCACTGAGGAAGAGTATGAACATGTCGTTGGAGAATAGTCCTTCGATCGTCCAAATCAAATTGGAGGTGGCGCCTGCCAAGCACATTCCGAACGGGATTGAAGCCCCCGATCTTGTCTTCAGCACCGTCTTGATCGTCTCAAATGGCGCGACATACGGCAACAAGCAGGCAACTGTCATCATGTTGCCTGCAATTAGCTCAACTTGGCTAGTGGATTGCCCAGTCACCCCTGTCATACCCAGAACCACGTACACGGATCCGAGTACGTTTGCCATAAGTGCAATACCAATTACCTTCGTAGCGTATGTCCGTGCTTTTGTCCACCGGAAGTACACGCCGATATACACCGTTGAAATGATCGTACCAAAGACGTACGTGGAGAACAGAGGGAAGTAGCTCCCTGATGTCCAGCCATAAAGCATACTACACAACAGGGACTGATTAGTTTCTTTTTCCCGGCAAAAATAAGGAGGATGACTTACACCATGACGCAGTTGAGCCAGAGTCCAACAAGAGGAAAGAGAGACACGTCGCCTGTGTCGTGACGCTTGTGGATGTTGTAGAGAGATGGAGCAGAGCTGAGGATCATGACCACAGAGCAACTCGACGCCAATGCCTTCAGTACGGTAAGTCCAAGATTCATCTTGTCAGATCAGTCGAAATTGCCGATTCGAAAACTGGTCAAAGGGGGTGTCGCGGCCAAGTCCAAGCATCCTATTTGAAGCACTATCAAAAACAAGAACAGCACGTTATTTTAGCGATAGTCGAATCAAAGTGATTGGAAGTTGAGTCGACGGTTTGGCCTCGTCTATTGTCCAGTGTTAGAATCTGAAACGGCGCAAGCTGAGATAAAAAAAATCTTATCCATTCTAAAAAAACTGATCGATTCACTCTCACGACGTCACGGCGCACTGATTCAAGACCGGATTTTCAAAGATCAAGAGCTCGGAAGACCCGCCGACAGAGGCGCATTCCGTCACGAAGTCGCCCACTTCGGTCTTGCGAGTTTCCATGTACTGCACAAAGTCAGCGAGTGGGCAGGTGAGTCCCGGTCCACTCTGGCATCCAGGTAGTGGGACCACCTGTTCATTGATGTTAAAGCGTACGTAGCTCTCGCCGTTGCACTTGACGCGCTCCGTCACCATGCGCGACCCCATTGCAACTACACGAGACGAACGGAAGTTGCGCGTGGCATTGATGGCATCAGTCGGATACGTCTCGTCGTAGTTAAGTCCGAAGCCAGAATACAGGGCGTTTAGTTGCGTGTCCTGGCTGAAAGCCACGAAGATTCTCTGACAGTATGTCGTCTCCGTCTCGTTCAAGAGCTTCGTCACCGCCTCGGCGTATGGGAAGCCGACAGTTGGCGCCAACGCCACACCGTAGCCTGATCCGTAATAGTACCCCAGATCTTTGTGGTACCCGTAGTGCTCCCACTCATCGTCCGTAAAGATCTGACAGAATTCCACGTGGTCCTTGCCTAGGAAATTACGTTGATACATGCACAGATCCATGACCGTGAGTGCCACTCCGGTGGAAAACCCGAAGCCAGGCCAGAGCGACTCGAGACGCTCAGCCAGAGCGTCTTGCCAGCCTGTAGCTGTGGCAAACGCCGTCTGAGCCGAACTCTCGTCCCCTTCGAAGTTTGGACACGTGTCAATCGGAGTAAGTGTGTTGCCACCCAACGTCTCGTCGGTATTGTTTACTTCAACCAAGAGATTGCTGTCCCAACCTTTACCGTGGAAACCGTCGACGAAGCTCTGGGCTGTGCGAACCACGCGCTCTTTTGCGTTCGACCACACGGTTTCTTTGGCGTTGTACAAGTGGGCGTACGTGGTACGGAAAGTAAAGCCCACGTCGAAGGCTTCCTGTAGTCCAAGCGTCGTGATATTTTCCACCTCGATCTCCGGGTGTGGGATCAGATCGGTGAGGTTCCACGTTTTGAGGAACTTCAGCTCATCGGCCATTGAGTCTGACATGTTCGGCCAGCTTAGGTACTCCGTGACAGTCTCGGCGAAGCTCTTGAGGCCGTTGTAGCTCCCAGATGAAGGATATCGGGTACCGTGACGCATAACCTACAGCATAACGAGACGAATAAGCTACTTATGTTGTCTAATACAGGATAACTGGTAGCTTACCATGTGAACTTGGTCCACTACACAGGTGTCGCCAAGCGCGACTTGGTCGGCCGTAAGGTCGGTGGCGGCTTGGTGATAGAAGTTGAGCTGGCTCGAATGATCCGTCAGGTCGAAGCCATCGCTGTACGCTTGGGCAGAGTGCGCCAGCAGCAGTGCTGGCAGAAGAGCAGAGACGGTCTTCATCGTCGAGAAGGTAGCGATTCCACGGGATCACTTGGCGAGTTTAGAAATGAGCATGACACTGCCAAGGCCGTTCCGGAGTTGGGAAGACAGACTGTCCATGTGCCTATCGTCGTCCCGACATCTTGAGATTCCGCAGACACTTGCGGTCCGAATCTCATGGGTGGCCAAAGTCGGCACCTTTAAGCCAGATGGAAGGGCAGGAGTTGTCAAGTGATCAAAGCGGAAGCGCACTTCAGCACTTTCCGCCAAAGCGAATCTCGGAGGTACATGAACTTCATGATGAAGTGGCCAATACTACAGTTGTCCATGTCAGTTTTAGCCAATCATATGAGTCTCATCATTTGCAAATAAGGTTGCGCAACTTAAATTTGGGGACGGATGTCAACTTGACAAAACAGCCCTGTCATTTTCTCCTGTCTCAACAAAAAAAACGTGGTGACAGAGGCTTAGATCGATGGAATGTTTGAGCTTGGGTGTATGTCTACGTATGGAGAATAATTATTTCGGCGTGCAGTTTTATCATAGCTTGGAATCGCAACCCCGTTTTTAAACCACTGTCACCTAGGTTTTGCTTCTTGGCGTTAAGGAAGTCATGGCAACACTACAAGGATCTTGCGACGTCAATACACTCTAGAGCTTGTGGATCCCTTTCGTCATGAGCTAGTTAACATGGAAGTTGGGCGAGTCCTACAAGGACGTAATGGTTTCCTCCGAGAGCCGTTTGCCTTGGCATCACAGTATTCTAAACATCAACAACAGTGGTCACAAAACAAGTTACAGCGTGCTTCATACACTAGATCGACCCCTGTATGAGATAAGGAGGGCAACAGCAACAACTACTACTGAAATATTAGCCTCACGGTTGTAATCACAAGTTGACGTGGCAGGTTGAAGTGACCATCACTCCGATCTGGCGCTACCAAGCAATCGCTTTGATTCCCGCACTTGCCATTTCGCACCCAACGCCGCATTTCGCTTCACTTCAATAGAATTCATGCAGCTATCTTCGGTCACCGCGACCGCTAAAACCAAGCAACCACTGCTCATTGTTGAAGCGTGGTCCGGAGACGACGTGGCCTTAGAGATGGCCCAGCCCGAACGTGCCCTTATGGTTGCAGTGAAGGTTGTACTACGGGCTGCAACATGCCGCTTGTGGGGTTGGATTTATAGGCGTGGAGTTGCCACAACCCAAATCTGCCAAGAAGAGCTTCTTCCCATTGCTCAGCCAGCCGTGTTCCCACTGTCGATACAGCACATGGACTTCATCGCTAACAGCTTTGAAGACATCATGACGCAACAGCAACTGATGCATGCGGTACTCGAGGACCTCAGACGCAACCCAGGATGTCGCTGCGAGTCGAACTATCTGAGGCAAGTTGCAGTGCGTGTGGAGACCGTGACTCTCGTGCTAATAAAAGCGTACTTGCAGTGTTGTGGACGTCAACTCGCCGAGTGCACCAAAAGTCTAGCGCAAGGATAATGCAAGTGCGCGTACCAAACCAAGGTTAACTACTACTTAGCGTTTTAATGCAGAAGGAGTTACTATCTTAAAGTTGCCAAGTTAATTCATAAAAAAAATTGCCATGTTGAAGTGACATCGAAGCGACAATCACTCTGCATCTGGCGTCGACGCTCGCAACTCTCACTTTTGTTTCTGCAGTCTGTGAAGCACTCTTTAGCATGAAGCAGCTGTCTACCGCTCCCGTCACGTTGTCCGAAGGCCCGACGCCATCCGCAACTGCATTCGTTCTGAACAGCGCACAGAGCGCATTAGACTGGTGCATGCGCTCCGCGGTGGAGCTGGCTCCGTGGGAGCGAAGCGCTGTCAGCAAAGAAGAGTTGCTTCGGTCGTATTCGCAAGAGCAAGTGCAGCTCATCGCAGATAACATTCGCAACTTCAAGACGCAACAGGAACTCATAATGCGAACGCTGGAGGACATTCGGAAGGAGCTCAGGTGCATTCCGCACTGTCGCTGCGAGTCTGGGGCTCAGCAACAACCGGATTTTGCTAGTCAATAAGTGGCAATCATTGACGCGGGTCGTGAAAGCTTTATTTAGTAACAAGTATGCAGCATTTCATTTAAACTCGGTGTTTCCTACTCATGAACGGAAGTCAAACTGCGCTAACGTCTTTCATTCCAACATACTCCACACTTTTGGATGGGTGGAGGCCTTCGCGTTCTCTTTCTGTTTGAATTTCATCTGGATCGCTAGGGTTGTCAAGAATATTTTGTGTGTTTTCCGGTGGATACACGATGTACAGCAACACTTAGGAACTGCAAATCAGCACACCGATGGCATTGGGAACCATCACAAACATGTCATCATCAGCAATGGCGAACACGGTCCACACGGTGGAGTTAAGGAGGAAAATGGCGCTGATAATAATCGGTAACGTCGTTGCGTCCTTCGTTTGAATCACTTGCTTCATTGTCTCCAACGGCGAAGCAAATAGAACCAAGTTGACGATGTCACTCAAAACCCCGAGACCCTTCTCCACCGCGTCGTCCGACTGATTTGTCACCCCAGTCGTCCCTAGGATGTAGTAAATTGTATAGATAACCAACACTGCCAACGTGATCAGATAAACCTTGTGGATGTGGGGTCGGTCCTTACTAAAGCGGTAGTAGATGGCTCCAAAGACGACGGAGGTGAACATACCGAAGCAGCTGATGGCAAAGAGCGGCAAGATGTTGTCGACGAGGTAGGCGTACAGGACCCAGACGTAGCAGTTGCAGAAGATCATGACTACGGGCAGGATGGAGGATGGTCCAGTTGTATTGGTCTTGTAGATCCTCCAGAAGTCTGAGGCTGGGGACAGAGCGACGAGAACCGCTGTAATGGTGGAGATCACTCGGATGACATCGAGGAAGGTTGTCATGGGAAACGTAGTGGAGTGGGGTGATTTATGTATACGACCTGATGAATACTCACCAAAATTGAAAGTGCACACGATAGTCTTGGCAGCCGAGGCACAAGTCGCTGTGTTGGATGTTCAAGGTAGCCATTGACGCGTGGTGCACCGTGGGCGGCCTCATATCTCGTTAGAGGGCTCGGCACACCACGCGATCAATTGATGACTTTTTGCCAGTTACGTCAACGCGTAGTTTGGTATATGTACTGAACTGTGTCGTATCATGCCGTGGCATTGCCACCCAACTGTCGTGATTGAACGCTTTTCATGCACGACCGCTATTATTTTTTTAGCAGTGTTATTCTACCATACTGCGCTTTGTACCATGAGACAGCTTATACACGCTGCAAACATCGAATTTAGGCTTAAATGAAAGGCTCGTGTTAGAGTCACTAACCAGTTTGCATAGCCGGTCCGTTGATCACCAACCAAGATGACCAATCACCACTAACCGGTTAGTTTTTCGTTAGTGGTTCGTAATTTAATCCTGCTAAGTACGTATTAAAAACCTTAGGTACGAAATAAAAATATTAAGTACGATCTGATTTCTCTACGAATGAGCTGATTGTAGAGATTTTAGTGTGACGTTGTACGAATGTTGACTGAGTGTGGAGGCGACTTAGCGAAATTTGGGTCTGCCATCGCTCATGAAATCCAAAGCAGCCGTGGCCACAAAGCGCAACTATGGGTATTCTGCAATCTATTGTTATTTTAGTCCTGTCAAGTATGCCTGTCGTCGGCGGCTTTCGTCTCAACGTGGGATCGGGTTACGCAGATTCAGAGTGCCATGACTTAGCGTTTCGCGATTCCGGATCAACAAAGTAAAACGGCAATGTATTTTGTGCAGTTATGAATCGCTCATGGTTACCCCAGGGTTTCTGCAGAACACTCCCTTGCTAGACAGAAAAAAATAGCGAAAGCGTAGATACTCGACTTGTTCGCTGGAAACCTTGGGAACTAAGATACCCCGCACAGCACACTCAAAGAACAAGAGAGTTAAGGGACCGCAACTATTTATATCTTCTTGTCGTGGGGCGCGTTGATGAATCGGATCAAGGGTCTCAGTGTATCCTCCAAAATACTTGTCCAAAATTTTGCTGAATTTCCTTGTAGTTTGTCATTGTCTGCGACCGGGTCAAATATCGTTGCTCTCCTCTTCTCGTAATCCAGGACAACACCAGCCCAGTGCGATTCCAGATACATAGGAATGAGAAACTAACCGGTTGGTAGTCTGACATGGCGAGTTGGCAATTAACCTTGTTGCTTCATGGATTCGTTCATGCACTCTCGCATACAATGGATTCACCCCTCATATACGACTTCTTCCGCTTTTGTCTTGGTCTTGATCGATAAGATGGCTGATAACAATTTTTGAAGCACGAGTCATCCAGCCACTTAGATCTCCCGAAAAAATGCTAGTTCCTGTACTTCCTCTTGTTCCGAACCGTGTACTGACCAACTTTTGTTACCCTGATCGTTCCTATACCTGCTGCGCAAGTTTTTCAAATCATCGGGTGGTGGCAGTTGTTTTAGCGGGGCTAGGAAGCAAAATTTCCAGTTGAGCTTTGAAACTCTGATCCATTCTGCAAGATCATGAACAGCAACCAGCTTCGGATATTCATCATGCCGCATGAGCATCGCTTTCAGATCTTCCTCCGCAAAAGTACCCATCTTCGAAATAGATACCCCCATTCTGCCCGCATGATGATCGCTTGGCAACGACTTTCGGTAGATCTTGATTCCTGCCATACACTTAGCAACATAATTCTTCGGGAAGCCAATCGTGACTTTGCGATGAACCTTCTGCTTTCTCGCGAGGAGCACGATCGAAGTCGCCTTCCAAGTCGGTGGGTCTTCTGGCGTGATGCTGTTCAGGACTGGTGAAGCATCTGCCACGTTGCCGTTGTGCTCTGGCGTCTTCCGAACAAGCGATAAGTCCTTTACAGGGACGAGTCTTCCTTGAACTAGTTCGTTTGCCTCGGCGCTTGACTCACGCATAAGAAGTCGTTTAGCTTCACGTACTTGTTTTCGACGCACCTTTGGCCTTCCCTTGCTTTTCACTGCCTTGCTGACGATAAATTTTCCTGTAAGTACTTCACTGCTGGAGCTATCTCTGCTGCTCGCATCATCGCTTTCATCCGTTGCTGTTGTACGCCGCTTACGAAGGACCAATTGGTTGGGAAATTTTACCAACTGGTTGTCATCTTTCACTAACTCGTTGGGGTCTTTCACTTACTGATTGGGATTGGAATCAGACTCGCTCAAAGATGACTGGTGTTTCTCCAACTGGTTGGGGTCCTTAACCAACTGGTTGGGGTCCTTAACCAACTGGTTGGGGTCTTTAACCAACTGGCTGGGGTCTTTTACTAACTGGTTGGGGTCTTTTACTAACTGGTTGGGGTCTTTTACTAACTGGTTGGGGTCTTTTACTAACTGGTTGGGGTCCGTATTAGACTCGCCCCTCGAACCCGAATCCGAGTTAGTCCTCGCACAGAGATCTTCTTTGGGTTTCGCTACTGCCTTGGTGGCGAGGTCGCGCTTCTTCTTCGCTCTGACGGGACCTTTATTGGTCAGGTGGTGCTTCTTCTTCGCTTTGACGACGGCTTTGGTGGCGAGGTTGCGATTCATGTCAGCAATTAACTCAGCACCTTCCACATCGACTGGCTTGGCGACACACCGAATGGCTTCAATACTACCATCTCCAACAATTTCACCGGCATCCGAACCATCAACACTATCCAACTCCAATACACGATCGCTGTTTTCTGATGCTTGTGTCGCCCTTCGTGTTGATGGACACTTAGAATCGTCGAGTCTGAGTCGACCCATTTCACTATAGATCATCCGATAAGTGAAGTCTGTCCATTTCACCAGCTTGACAATTCAACTTCGCAGGTAAATTTTGATCAGATTCCGAAATGTTCGGTACATAGCCCTGCTTAACATATTCTCCAAACTCTCGCAACGCTTCAGCCATCTTTAGGTAAGTGGGAGTTCCTTGGGAGCACATCGCCTCCACGACACTGCCAGCAATATCCATGCCAGTCTTTCACTTCGTGGACCCATTCAAAACTGCATGTTCCACAGACCTCATATGCGAAGTTTGTAATCGAAGTGCAGCACAAGAAATATCATCGCCTGACTCATCTTCTTCGGGCCGGTTTGCTTCGGACTGTAACAACCATCGTGTATGAATATAGTTCACAGGGATCACCTTCTTTTTGTCCATCGATGACCGTACAAACATTGCGTGATGGCACGGAAGCAACATAGCTCGCATGAAAAAGCAGGAGCATGTATATGTCTGCATGCAAAACACAAAGTATCATGAGACAACATCTACTAACCAAAAATATGCTACCACGCTGACTTACCAAAACATCAGCAGTATATTCACAATCGGTTGTGAGCGACTTCAGACGGGCGATTGAATGTTGCAGCCACTTACCTCCGTACGAAGCACTGCCACTCTTGAACAGCTCGTATTCCTTTCTAACCAACTCAAACGCGTGTGGGCTCACCAATGCTGACAACCGAAGCAGCATCTCATCTGCGCCATGATAATGTCGTGAGCCTAGAACATTAAAACGCGACGCATACTCCAATTCCGCTGTAGACTGAAGAAAAAACAGCGTTTCCACGCATTCGTCCAGCTCCATCTCTGGTCGCAGAATCGCTTTTAGCGCCCCCCACGCTGACTCAAGTCTGCATCATAGCAACAAGCGAGCGATTAGTCTAATAGCAAAAGCATCACGGCGAATGTACAACATTCTTACCGGTTGTTGGTATGATTGCCAAGATGAGCGACATCACCACGCTCGTATATGCTCCACATTTCTTTACAGGAATGCCAGTTTCGAACGAAATATTGGAGCAGAGGGTGCTTCGGCTCAGGTAGCTCTGGTAGCTCTCCTACTTCATCGAATCCGTCCAAAATGTAGTACATGTACCTGAAGCCGCGATCATACTCCTCTTTAGTTCGAGCCTTCACCATCATGTCGAGCGAGTCTTCGACTCGATCCACACCCACGCCATGGCGGCCGCCGTAGATAGCGTTCGACATCTCAGCACGAAGATATTTCTTCAGATGAAAAGGGCAAATCAATACACGAGCTAACGGGAATTTCTTTTGTAGAAGCGTGATCTCTCCGAATTCCTTGTCGACCATGAAGGCGCGAATCTGGTCCCACGAAGGAATATTTTCCTTGAATGCATTGATAGCATCCTTCATGCACGCATGACACTCGTTTTCGACCAATGCATGTTGAACATATTGACCCTATCATGAAAGAACCACGACGCAAGATGTGTTAATCACTAACCAAAGCATAGCAATTGTTATAGTCACTAATGAGTCCCCAACTACACCAACTGATCACTAACCATTTGGCAAAGTCACGAATTGATCACCAACTAATCGGGACAGAATGCAGTACTTACGTGGCCAAAGGTATCTTCGATCATGAAGCTGAAGAGCTTGTACTTCGCAGCTTTGGTTCCGTGGGTCGAATCCAGCAGCACCACTTCCGGAAAAGCGTCAAAGAATCGTCCCATTTGCCGTGTCTGCATTGTAATTGTCTGCGTTGTCTTCCTAAAGATGGAGGCAGTGTTCCCCCGAACAGAGCAAAATTTCCGCAGCACCGCCACAAGCCTGTCTATAACCGTGGTAGCGCCACGACGTTTTGCCTTTAACCTGCGGACCAAATTGTGCACGTCCCGGGGCGTCACCCCTTTGCCTGTCCAACTCATGTCATTAGAACCACTGACAGCAAGATAAAGATATGCACTTCGCTAATCAAACGTGTTGTTTCCTGGAGATACTTGAGAATCTTTTTGGGCTTGGAGCCCGCTTTGACAAGCTCGTCGACGAAGTCCAGAATGCCGGGTTCTGTTACACGCCGAGTTGCCAAGTAGTTTTAGTAGACCTCACGCCGAAGTCTGTGGTTGTGTGTTCTGTTGTGTGTGCT